GGCGAGCGCACGATCACGTTTGCAGAAAGGACCTCGGTTTCGTCGCGCGGTAGGGTAGTTTTAGCCAGAGGCATTGGTTGTCTGCATTCGACACATTGTCAATTTGCCGCTGCTCGTCTCGTCTGTTTAAAATCGATCGTGCAGGAGCACATACACATACCTGCCTACCGAATACATTTTCGGTTTACGAGTGCTGTAGACGTCATTCTCCCGTTCCCTAACAATGCGCCAAAAAATAGTCGCTTTGTTCAATTTCTGTCGAACCACGCCAGCGGGTATCAGACCGCTCATATTATCGTCACCAACGACTTTCGATAATTTCACACAACGCTTTTTCAATCGAGGCTATTCTTATCGGCATTAAATTTATTTTATACACAGTAATTTTATTTTACGTAGTACATACCTAGGTACGAATGAGAGAGTAATTTCTCTTACTCGGTTCTATCAACGATTCAACGTTTCCATCCATTTGTTTTCCCAAAGTTTACATCGGGTAAACTCATTTATTTTTACAGTTATTCTTTACAGAGTTACTTTACGTGTTATTTTGTAGAGAATAAGAGAGACAGAGGGACAAATAGATATATGAGAGAGAGAGAGAGAGAGAGAGAAAGAGAGAAAGAGAGAGGGAGAAAGAGATGTGTATAATTAAGTATATGCCTATTATATTCGTTAACTAGACGAGAGGACTGATTATGGTAATAACGCTTAACGTTAATATTTATCTTATGTAAAACGGTTTATTACAGGAAGAGAATGATACACCCGAACGTTTTCTCCATATCTCGTAAAATACTCTCGAAAAATTTTCCGGAATCCCAACAAATACGTCCGAATTATTTTTCGCGATTTAAAAAAGAGACTATTCTCCCGGAAAATCGCGAAGTCACGAAATAAAAAATCGCGGTATGCCAATACGACATGTGGAAAGTGTTGGATTAACTTCCGGGAATATAGTGTTCGCACAGTTAATAGTGGCTCGATGCCGATCGACAGCAATCTTGCCGTAGAAACTATGACCGAGATGATCGAAAATGAGAACCGCAAACGGTGGTGCACATTTGAAGTATGCCGTGGCTGAGAATTCCGTACGAGCGACCGGCACATACCGCATGATATCTATTTCATTATGGCAGAGATTCCACAGTATTTTTGTAATTACACGCAACGATCATCGCCACTGGTAACACAGGTTACATCGCTCATATTGTGTTAGCGAATATTGTCGAAATTTCTCGGGGACGGCCTGTGATCGAATACTCGGTCCAGCGACGTTAATTATCTTTAATCCAATTAGCCGTGTATTTGCATACGCCGACTACGATGTTTTCGAGCGCGTTCGTGTCTGCGCTCATTAGTGCGCTGAATATGATGCAAATGAATGAAAAATAAGTCTGCAGTTGCGACGCGTTAGTTCCGGAAAGTATAATTAAAAATCGCGCCCCTGCCATTCGCGGTTTTCCTTCCGAGCTATCGCGTAACATTACGTAAATGCGTTATTGCGAGCCGTTCATACGTTCGTACCGTCGCGTTACTTTCAATCACGATACCACATATAGATCTTTCCATTCGTGTGTTAATAACAACGATCGAACAATAAGCTCCGTCAATTCGAGAATGTTGCTCGCGGGTGTCATTGAAAAAGTTGACGGCCAAAGTGCCATTCGCTTCGGCTTACGACGCACGGAGCGTTTCTCGGACCTGCCGGAAGATATTTTAAGCACGAATTCACGGAGAGAGAGAGAGAGAGGGAGGGATAAAAAATTGAACGTTCATTACCGTCAGATAAGCGGGTTGTGTCTCCTACAAGCGAGCAGTTTCGTTGCTAATTAAAAGACACGAGGCGCATACACGTGGAAAATATTAACCCATCGTCGTCAATTATTCCCGAATTAAGGAAGGAATGTGTAAGACCGGAACGGCTCAGCTATTTCATCGTGTTTATTAAATTTCTTCGACATCCGCCTCCCCCCTTCGCGCGAGATGCAATTTGGCTACGCACGGGACGTTCGTCCCGAACTTACAGCGCGCATTTCGTACGCGGAACGCAAGAACTTATTATCGTCTTGAGCAACTCCGCCAAGTGTTACCGAGCACGTGGAAAGGATCTCGCGATGTCTCTGATCAGATGTATCTCTCATTGGCAGCTTTTAGCGTCATTCTGCTATATTTACAGCAGAGTCGTTGAATAAATTAGTCTATATCGATCTTGTTAAAAAAAAAAGAAGAGACAAAAGAAGTTAAATGCTGCATCTTGATACTTCACACACACTTTACATATCGCGTTTCAGCTTTCGGCTATTTTTGCAAGGACTGCGAGGATGAAGAAGCGAGCCACGACGTGGCCCTCGCAGCTTCGATATTATTCTAAGAGTTTGGCCACGCGTTGCGATGATAATACAATCGGAAGGCAGGCGTGTAATTCAAAGTTCTGTTGCGTTTCAAAGATTAACAGCCGTCACGTCAGATCGCAGCGAATTGTAAGCGCGGTATTAATTTAACGTTGACAAGGTTGCTATTTACAAATTGTTAATGTAAAAGTTGCTTGGCAATTGTTGCGAACTAACGGTTGCAAACATCGACGACTTCGAAATTCGTCAAAGAATCCGTCGTCAAAACGTTGGATACGGCGCGAGTGGTATATTCTGTACATATACATCAATTCGTGTGATGTTAATAATTAAGTGCACTAAAAGCAGCGTGGTAGTGCGCGTTCGTTTCGTGAATAGCGACAACTGCGATGGAACTGCAGCAAATATTTACGATCTAGTGCATATTGCACAGAAGGAATCAATTATGGAATTTTATAATTATTAAAATTGACTACTGTCGTAGGAGGACCGAAGCGCGATTCTAGACGATATAGTTATACGGCGATGTGAATCATTCCTTCGGTGATCCTCAAAATTCGAAGATCAATAAATATGGTACAGTCCGCGTGTTATATACAGGTGTGATCGGTATACAGTCGTACACATATCATCGCTCGAATTAATGATAAGCTTCACTACGATGAGATATCACAATATTAGATTGCGACGGTGCGAGGATTAAAAAAAAAAAATTTTATATACAGAGAAAAAGCGGTTGGATCCACAAAATCAGCGATTATCCTCGTTCGAGGAAAAAATGATGTCTGCCAAACAAATAGACGATATTCCGCGATTATAAGAGGACTGTATCGGATCCCTCTTATGCCTGTCGCAAATGGAATAGAATCGTGTCGGCGATTTCGCATCACGCTGGGCTAGCGCGGGTCAGTCGGTGCGTCAGGTGCTATCGCGATTTCCGTTCCCGCTGCACGGGCTGCCGCGTTATAAAAAGGGGTGGCTATTGAATTAAAAGGACGTAGCGAATAAGGCGGGCCGCAATGAGAAAGCGAGATCGCGCGAGCAAGCGAGATCCCCGGGAGCGAGGGAGCGAGCGAGCGAGCATGCGAGGGTGAAAGAGAGTGGAGGAGAGAGCGCATCGGCGAGAGGACGAGGAGGAGGGTAGCAAAGCGGCAAGGACGACAGGGACAGAGTGACGGGACCGGGACGAGAGGAGGTAGGGTGAGGGCAGAAGGGCATGAAGAGCGGGGGTGGAAGAAAGGCGGAGGAAATGAGAAGAAGAGGGCTCTCTCTTCGCCTTCGGCCGGCCGTCTGCTCGCACACCCCCCTCTCTCTCTCTCTCTCACCCCCGCGAGCGAGCGCACCAGCGCGCGCTTGCCGGCCATAAAAATAAAATTTCAATAAATCTCCGCCGTGCGAAAACTAGTGGGGCATCCCGAGGGCGGGCAGCTCGCTCATTGGAGCTGCGTTGGCGGCGGTTACCGCCTACCACAAAGCGGAGACGGCGAGGGAGAGAACAGGAGAAAGAGAGAGAGAGACGACGGTAACCTGGATAGAGTTTACCTCGGGATATGGGCAACCCTCGTACCAGCTGCCAACCACTGCGGCCCGGCGACTGAAAATCCGACGATAGTACGCGCTGGGCCTGAGGTGCTTTTTCCTCTCTCTCTCTCTCCCTTTCTCTCTCGTCGTTTCCTTCTCGTTCATCTCCACCTGCCACCTTAACGCGCCCGGCGGTCTCCTCTTTTCATCCCCGATTCTTTCGCCGTTTTCGCGCCCGAGGTCCCGGCTTACCGCGTCGCTCTTGTCCTCCTCGAGCCTGCACTCGCGTAACCCTACTGACGCGTGTTCGCGCGCGGTTACGCGTATCGTGCGTCGCAGGCACAGTAGTCGCAGGAGATGGTGGTGGTGGTCGAGAGCGATTTTTTGGGGAGAGCTCTTCGTTGAAGAAGAAAAAAATAGAGGAAAATTATCCAAATACAAAGTAATGATTTTTGTTTGTTCGAAAGTCGATTCTCGTCATGAAAGCTCCGTTCAGGATGTGGATTACGTATCATCGCGATCTCGATGACGATCCATCGTCAACGGCGCGTACAAGCGACGTTCTCGGTTTCGCGTGAAATTTGCAGCTAATTAGTCGGCTCCGGCCGCCCCCACCGGTGGGGAAAAAAAGAAAGAAAAGGGAATTTCGATTCCGGAGGATTTCGGAGGTAGGCACCGCGAACGGCTAGCTACCTTCCTGAATCCAGGATCTCTGCCTGAAGGATAGGAGCGATTTAATATCACGCCCACAACGGAGAACGCGAGGGGAGTGGGGACCTTCGCGAGCCGCGGGTGCGAAGGAGAGGTCGCGTTGTCGGAGCGTTCGTGCGAGCGAGACGCCGTTACTCCCGCTGAAGCAGCCGCGAGTGGGGGTGTTCGGATATGGCAGTCGGCCAGTCGGCTGTTTGCCTTCCTGGGGCACGGGCCGTTCCTCAGGCTCGCCTGTAGAACTCTGATATACTCTACATCTCCACCGGAGATCACCGTGCGTTTCTCGCGTCCGTCGCCGCCTAGTTTCCTTATTTCCGTGGTTCCTCGGGCTGACGAGGGTGAGGTGCTCGCGGCGGTGTCGCGCGGATTTCCGCTTCCGCGTGCTGTACCGGAGCTACGCTCCTCGAGAGCGGCATGCTCAACAATATCACCGGCGGCAATTCCGTACACGGTATCTCCGGTAAGTACCGTATATACTGCCATCTTATCAGTGCGCGTCTGAAAAAAGAAAGAATCGGCCGAAAAAGCGCGACCGAAGCGACTCGCTGCGCGTTGTCGCGGGGGTTGATTGTCCAGCTCGGGGCTGGAAAGACGAAAGACACCCGTCGATTTCCGTCGCAGCCTCGCTCGTTTCACGCGACGGTCCCACGGTTTGAACGTTCACACGCGGGGAAAAGTCGCCTCGCATTCCTCGGATCGCCGACGAAATATGACAAACCGCGACCGTCGCTTCGAACGGTTCGTATTCACCCTCAGCCATGACACACGTACATACTTCGGGCTAACAGGTATCATCGTGCGAATGTACTCAGTGATCCTTAGATCGTTGTCCCGACAAAAGTTGAGGCATAAGTATATACTTCCGCATATTCTTTGGAGGGTGGTTCAATTTCTCGGGTGGCCGCCGATGTCTTGCCGTCGGTATCGCTCACGTCGCTTTCACGACGGTGCACCGGTGGATTTCGTCCACCCTGTCGCCCAGATTTACAATTGATTCTCCCAGAGAATCGATTGCGAAGCAAAGTGTCGGGCGATTTGACGGGATCAAGGGCAATATTCTCGAAGTTGACGACGGCACCGGTCGCACACGGTCACCTTTAACGCGAGTTCCAACGGGATTGATGAGACTTGAAGTTCGGAATTTCGTTAACATTCAGCGGTGGAACGTTGTATCGAGTAATGCGCTCTTCACATTTACATAAGCTATGAAAAGTTAGTTAGGTCGTACGATATCAATATTAATATCGCTTAATCATGACCGATGCCGCTGTAACGAGGACATCGAAAGCCAGTCGTCCGTTGATGCGCATCGTTACGTAATCGCGCCGACATTTCCGTAAAAAAACCTCAAAGTAACCATCCAAACCGGCCACTTTCGCGAATTCAGTTTGATTTCTTGCGCGGTCGGACTCGATCAGGCGCGTGACGGGGCGAAAAGCGCGACGGCACGATATCAATGCGATGTTCAGCGATTCTTTCGCCGTTTGATCGCCTTCAATCTCGGATTTAAAGCACCGCGCCAAGTACCGTTGTCAAGCATCAGGTGTCCCATAAGAACGGCGCGCTTTCTTCGCGCATTTTATAGTGCTAGTTGGTCGCCACGTTTAGTTGCTGTGAATCCTAACGCTCGGTGCACTTCGAACGTTAACTTTTAGACCCGGCACTTTAATACGTCGGCACAATGCGCTTAGTCAAGTAAATTTATTAATTAATCGGACATGTGATACTGTACGTATCACAAGTATATTGCCGGTTTGCAAGTACTTGACAACTTTTACGAAAGCAAACAGTTATTTATTAAAGGCTGAGTAAAATTTATCGCTCGACGTTTGAAGAGGTGCCGAGCATCGAATAAGAAATATCAGTTGTTCATTTTTCATCATCACGCGATGATAATGAAGCTGAAAATGATATGCACCAGAGTTGCGGTTCAACGTTGCCCGTCGCTGGCGGGTCGGAGATTCTTCGTGAGGACCGTGATCGTTTTCGACGCGAAGCAAATAAATTAATAAAATAGACAGCATCACTATGACCTTTCGCCGAATAATTATCGTCGAAAACGCCGATCACTGAGCTTCATTCGCAAAATTCAATTTGAACTTCGATGTCGATTTGATTTTATCAGCCGGGAAATTTCGCGAAACCGTCTATTTTTTTCGACGCTGCTTTGTCGCTAAGCGTGTCACAATAATTCCGCATTCTTTATTATGCTTATAAATAAAATATAAATTCACCGAGTGTGAGCTCGAATTCCGTGTTTAATCAATTTGATTTCCACCATCCGTCGGCTCGCGTAGGGACTCTTTCGCCCGGCTAATCCACCGTGAATAATCCTGCCGAAGGGCTGTGGGTTGAAATTAATACATCGCGTTTTTTGCTATAAAATATTTATCATTCTGATAAACGCTTCTAAACTCACATTCATTCCGAAGACCAATTTTTTTCTTTATCCACCCACGTTCGACAAGCGGAACAACATTCGCGAAACTTCCCCCTCCGTAAGGATCCTAATTTAATTATAAGAGGATAATTGCGTCCGCATAATTAACGAAGTTACTCGACTTTCATTATGTACGATATACACTATTTCTGGCGCCGCGTCGCATACTTCGCGTCTCCAACAGAACTGCAGAATGTGAGATATCTTTTCTTGATTTCGATTAATCGCGCCTTTCATCGAGAGAACGATGGAGTAAAAAGTCCGAAACGAACGACGAAACTCGAGTGGACAGTCGAGTATTTGCGGAAGAAACAGCGTGTTGTGTTACAAGCCGGTAACACGTGACGCGCGCCCGTCTTCCTCCTCCTTCGGTCTCAAGAAAGCCGCTTCTCGAGTTTGATGATCTTAATTACCTCAACACTGATTACATTACGCGGGAAGTTGAGGAACGATTTAGAGAGTTAGAATATTACGGGCGAGGCAAGAACTGGGCGCAAAGCGCCACACGTTAACACGGCTCGAGAGGAAATTGTCGTTCGATTCTTCGTTCTTTCGTCGCGACCGACCGACCGGCGGCATCCCCGCAGCTCCTTTCGCGGCGTGCAATCTTACCGCCGAAAAATTCGTCGTACAAATTACGTCCTGCGAATTGCGTCTCCTGCAATTTGTAAAATCATCTTTTGCCTCTGATTCCTCTAAATGACGCCGTTACACGATCGTCAAACGGATTCGGCGGGTCTGACATATGCCGAAGGAATTTCCTTTTGATCGATATTAAACATTTCTCTTGGAACAATTTTAGAGAATGTTCCCTCCGACACGAAATCTCGAGTTTCGGTTGAAATTTCGACAGACCGAATGTGTCTCGAAGATCGTACCACAATAACGTGAAATATACAACAAGACGTAAGCGGTAATCTAATTGACCAATTGTACAGTCCGAGAATAATCGACCGTAGTTGATCAATTAACTTACTGCTTACGTCTTACTACATGCTTTACGCTGTTATAAAACGGCTTTTACAGCGGAATTCACGCGGTGTATCTCGAATCGGCATCTGCCTTCCGTCGTGCGATGATAAATCGCGTTAATTCGTCTTCTGCCGAATGCGATTAAACATATACTTATGCTACAACGGCTGATGAATTCGTGATCGCGCATGCGGAGAGACACTGCCTTCAATTATCCGCCTTCAACTTGCGCGATATCGAAAATGAGAAATTCCGCCGTCGGATACGGGCGCTCTCTCTCTGTCTCTCTCTCCTCCGGACTCTCGCGTGCACACACACACACACACACACACACACTCACTCACACACACACAGCTCGCGCGCTCGCTTCAAGTATGCGTCCGTTAAAATTTTTTATGATATACGTTAATTGCATTTGGTGCGCATCGACCATCCATTGAGACAAGGCGGGCGCCACCGCTCGCGAGCGGTGACACGCGAATAAATACGTCTGTCACGACATTTCCGGATAGTAATGTGATTTATGACTTTATTATTCAGACGTTTCTGCGCGCGGCGGACTGTCAATCACGAGGTTTTCGAACGCCGATAAATACGCGGCCGAGTGTTATAAAAATTTCTTCCTCTTTTTTTTTCGCCCGTCGCCGCAGCCACCTCGCGTATATCCTAAATTATCCGCGAAACCGAGCCGAATTGGCGGCGAGCCGCGCTGCAATATCGAGGTAGAGAGCACACAGAGAGAAAGAGAGAGAGAGAGAGAGATAGGGAGGGAGGGAG